CGGCGAAGAAGAAGAAGACGACGGCGAAGAAGACGACGACGGCGAAGAAGACGACGAAGAACACGACGAAGAAGGATCCGATGGGACCGAGGCATACTCACGCGTGTTCTCCGCCACGAAGACCTTGCGCGCGAGGCGCCGCGCTGCGTTGTAGCGCGGGTGCACCACCAGCAGCGGCCGAACCAGCGACGGCACCGGCACACCGCCCACGGCCACGCCCCCTTCGCCTCCTCCCAGCTGCACGCTCGCGTCCACCGCGCGCAGTCCTCCCGACGCGAAGGCCACCCGCGCGCGCAGCTCGCCCGCCGCCTGCGCCGAGGACGCGTCCCGCGCGGCGGGCAGCGGCTGCGCGTAGTGCCAGCCCAACGCCCGCGCATCCGCCAGCTCGCGCCGTGACGCCTCCCGCAGCGACGCCGGGATCTGCAAAACGACACGAGCTGCTCTCTACAGAGACGCGCATGTGATGTGCATGGACGTTACTTACAACACAATGCATGATGAAATAAAACAATTAAAATCGGCACTCAAATTTCATTTAAAAGTAAAACGTTTTCTGCTGCAAAACTGTTTCTTACTTCTTAGTCTATACAGACCATCAAAAAGAGAAATAATATTTATTTTAACAATGATATATAATGCTTTAGATTACATTCGTATTACATTACAATTCTTATTATAGCTGTGACAAGAAATATACTTCAGCTACCGGGCCAATAACCCTATCTCGATCAAGCTTATGTTCCGTTCCTCTGATCCATTCAGCGAATGCTCAGATGGGCAATTTTGTTGTCATTCTGGATACAAATATAGCTTCACTATGCGCACGTGTAATGGAGTTCTAGCTTTGGTAGGAGTAGAGCCGAGGGTATTGGTCACTATTGACAACTCTTTTCTGTACTTCAATTCAAACAAGTGTATCGAAAAGCGAATTTTCTATACCTCGGGAGCGAAAATGACTATTTTCAAATGTTACTAATCTTGCTTTGTTTGCACATATATTCATCATTAAACTATTTAGAATTAACAGGTAGGGAAGACATTCCTGAGCTTAAGAAAACGTGCGAAGATTCTACTTTTCCCTTGTCACATACTGTTTTACAGTTCATTGACAAAAAAAAATATGGAACATTCACTACATTCGTGATTGGGATGAGTCCTCAATATTTTCGATACCTCGATACTCTCGTTACTGCAGTGGCATCGATATTGATCGATACATTAAGAAAATAATTTTTGCATTGCCTAGCGCAAAGCCCAAAATACGTTGAAGTCTAAAACGTGTTTTTTGTACAACATTTTGATCTAAACAGAAGCAGTTATGAACTGTGATGGCAATGTGTGGGCTTAATTCAGATAATGCCTAATCGTAATGATTCGTATTTGTTCGAATATAGCTGCCCATTATCCATTGATCTGAATATATAATTATATTACAAAATTGTTATATTATTCAATAAGCAAAACTAATATCGTATGTACTACTAGTATCGTACACATAAATATATTTAGGTCATATTAATGTCACCAATTTTGTTGCATCATGGGAATAAATGGTTTGCAGAAAATATTTAATTCATGTATTAAGTTATATATTACGAACAAATGATCAACGAGCATTCGATAAAACGAAATCTCACGTGAAATTAGCGCAAAATACACTCACCCCTACACACACTTACTCTAACATGCACTACACTACCACACATGCCGGGAGATCGGTGGGGGTCTTAGAGCTTGTCCCGACTAGGGCAGTGCCTCGCTGGTGGGAGATACCTGGTTGTGGAAAACCCCGCTGGTGGTATGTCGGTGCCGGATCTCACCATACAGCGGGGGTTGATCACCGCCCCCTCCCGATCACAAAACATGCACCACACGTACGGCACTAATGACCTTAGTAGTTGAGGTGCATGGAATCACTATGAGTCAATCCACAGTGCTTGCGTACCTGTGCGTGGATGAGGTACCGGTCGAGGTAGCCCGCGCGCATGGTGATGTTGCGGCAGGCGGCCAGCAGGTGAGCGCCCGCGGCCTCCTCCTGCAGGCACGCGCCGGCCAGCGGGTGGCGCCGCAGGTACTGCAGGCGCGCCTCGCTGCGCGACATCAGGCACTGCGCACACACGCGACACACTGCAGGTCGCTTGTTGCGCAAACGATCCCAACGCGGAATTCAAATATCCGGCGGCGGCTGGTAGTTTTTGTTAGGCGAATTCGACTTGACGTAGTAATTCAGCCCAGTGTATCCTGCCAATATTGACGTGCACAACGCGCATGAATTATTTCTTCGGAAAACGTTCATCTCCACTGCCTCCTCAAGTTTTTAAAAGAAACACTTCATGATGTATTGCCACGCTCCTGTGCACACCTCCAATTTAACGTCCAATGCACCGGCTAACTCTCGATTCCTGCTGGTTACCTGCAAGTGACTGAAGGAGGATGGACGTTGTTGTAGAGAAATGAAAGAAGTTAATCAGTGAACATAATTTCTCTAGTTTAATATCTGCATTAGCACACAAAAACGGGGGAAAAAGAAAAGAATGTGCTCATTTCCCCCCAAAACTTATCTAAGTCTAAAAGTTGTCTTGCAGATTAGGGAATTCATGGAGCTGACAATTCAGTGACAAAACAATTTTCCAATTATGATAGAGTGAAAGTTTGTCAGTGTGTGTGTGTGTGTGTGAGAGAGAGAGAGAGAGAGAGAGTGAGTGTGTGTGTGCGATTTAATAGTTTTGATTAACCAAAAAAACCATAAATGTTTACAGTAATATTTTATTCTGTAACCGAAATGTGCTTAAAGTGTTACTTTCCGGTTTTAACAATGCGTTCAATGAACCAGAAAGTACTGGAAAGTGTAACTATCTTCGATATCAGGGACCCAGGCACCAATTTCCCACGTATTTCCCCCAGGAAGGGAGAGAAAGAAGTTGACAACTCTTCCACGCATAACCGCAACGATAGCCTTCTTCCGAGTCGGAAACTGTCAGCGTTGTTCAATATCCCGCAAACTACGCAAGTGCACCGTAAGCGTGTTACAAGTCTTAAATTCACGCGCCGTGCTGCAACTTTTGTCCCGAGGGCCCCGAATCGCTTCAGCGGGCGTCCCCTCCACTTGACCGTGACAAGTCCTGGCCCCACGTGGCGCGGCGCTTACACGGGGGGAAGTTGCGGGTCGGGGCAGCCGGGAGCGCAAACTTACCTCGACAGTGATCTTCTCGGGCGGCAGCTGCGGGCTCCAAGCATAGGCGACGTGCGCCGTCACGTTGGAGCTGTGGTCGGCCGCCAACACTTTCCGGAAGTCCGTCAGGGGCACGTCCGCCCAACGGCCGTCCACGCGCGCCGCTACCTGCGGCAACGGAGAGCCGCCATTGATTCGGTTCGAATTCCACAGCGCTTTCCATTACTTCGGTTACATTCTAAATTATTTGTTTGCCTAACGTCTAAAAACACTTAAACACCAACGTGTGAATTTTTCGCCAATTGAGCAAGAGTACCGCAGGGTTCTGTTTTTGGGTCTACTTTCTTTCTTATATACGTTCGTTTGAAATGAAAGAACACTTCTGCTTGCAGATTACAAAAATATTATTTACAAAAAAGAAGCAGTAAGTAGTATGATTTCAAATTTTTCTAATTCGCTTCTTAATCAAAATTAATAATTAACGAAGAAAAATAGTTTTAATGCCATTTTTGCATTTCGATGCCATCATGCCATGCGTCATTAAAAATAAACAATATGCAATTACCTAACGGTAATGAAAAAATTCTTGCTCACCACTCCAGTCAAAGCTCGAATAGAATGTCGATATAAGTATTAAACACTAAATTAAGTTCATAATGTTACGCGTACAAAATTCTCTCAAATTCAGTCTTCGTGCAACTTGTGTTATTTTGCGAATAAACATTCCCGCATCATACGGCAAAATATACTGGTGAAACACATGCTATAGTACCCAGACTTTTAGACTGAAGAAAAAAGTGGGATTAATAATCAGTTTCCGTCCACGTGATTCCTGTAAGGTTCTCTTCATTGGGCTTACCTTTGCCTATTTGGAAATCTATTTACGATATGTTCGATATGTATTGTAATTCTCCCCCATATATCACATACTGTTAAGTTGTAACTTAATTTGGAAACAAAGTTTAAGATGACATTGAATAGTAAACAATTAAGATAGATATACAACTTATATTGATAAATAAATAGAGATATTGTCAGGTATCAATATTTTAATTCCACTAATGATCATTTCGATCGCGTAGTGATCATCCTCAGAGCTAAAAACAATACAAATATACAATGTGAAATATTAATATTTGTATTGTTTATATAATATTATATATAATATTATTATTTGTATTGTTTTTAGCTCTGAGGATGATCGCTACGCGATCGAAATGATCATTAGTGGAATTAAAATATTGATACCTGACAATATCTCTATTTATTTATCAAAATAAAAAAGGTATCTACTTCACCAACAATCCAATTAATACAACTTATAGTTCCAAGTAAAATTGTGTGTACTGCATAATTGTTTATACAATTGTAGACCATACACAGTATACCAAGGAAAATAATATTTTTTTAAATAATGATATTTAATGATTTAGTTCTTTGTACTGTATTTTTAAATATACTAATTATACATAGAACGACCCGACTCGTTATTTATAACAAATAATGAATTTCAGTTTCTGAAATACTGAGCCTTATCTCGATGATCCTCATTTGGTTTTTCGTCCAGGTTCTCTGATTCTTTGAGCGAATGTTGAAATGGCCCTTGTTTTGCTTCTGGACCTAACTTTGTCTTGAGTATGCGCACGTTTCTTTAGATCTTCTTCTACTATTTGTGCTAGGAATAGAGCCGGGGTATGGGTTGTTTTCTATAGCAATATATGACATCAAATCTGTAGTTCGTTTGCCACTCAAATACATTTTCTATAAGTCAGAAGAGAAAATTACTTTTCAAATGCTAATAATATTAAATATGATAACCCAACACGAATTTTTGGTTAACAAGAAAAATGATATATTTAAAATTTTCGCAAGAGAACGGTTTTAATCCGAGCGGCGCCGTTTATTTCGTAGCCAAATTACAGTAATACATTATCGCCTCAACTACCATTATGGCAAAGTGAGACGTTTAAAAAAATATTTTTTAACTGAACTAAAAATGTCGATTTTTGCCTTGGGTAACTTTTTTGTGCACCGAGCCGGAGGTATACATTTAATTACTTAAATCTAGTGGTTCCAAATCAGAAAATTAATTACATGTATCTTTCCAGTCTTTGAAATTGTTTAGTGTGTTCCACGAAAATCATACCTGCATAATTTCTTACGAGGCTTTTCC